ATCTTTATTTTGTTTGATAGCCACAGAATTGTTGGTATAAGGATAGCAAACACAAGCACAGTTTATGCCTATATGGAGGTGTACGAAAATGGGAGCACAGTCGTGCTGATAACGTGTTATGAAATAAAAGCAATTTAGTAAAACATGAACAAGAAATAAAGATAGAGAGAAGGAAGAGTATTTCTTCTTCAATTGTATGTATTTTTCTATCTATTACAAGGCCTTTATATAAGCATGGAAAGTGAAGAAAAATATGTCATTAAGCATAAAAAGATGTCATTGAATATGTCATTAAGCATAAAAAGATGTCATTGAATATGTCATTAAGCATAAAAAGATGTCATTGAATATGTCATTAAGCATAAAAAGATGTCATTGAATATGTCATTAAGCATAAAAAGATGTCATTGAATATGTCATTAAGCATAAAAAGATGTCATTGAATATGTCATTAAGCATAAAAAGATGTCATTGAATATGTCATTAAGCATAAAAAGATGTCATTGAATATGTCATTAAGCATAAAAAGATGTCATTGAATATGTCATTAAGAATTTGAGAAGATCATGGAGGAAGAGTAGACATCCACCATAATTTGATTTTTCTTATAATAGAATTAAAATTTTCCCTATTTAAAATTGTAAGTCCTAAAACGAGTAGTGCATTAGATGTGGGTTTTGAGCCCACTATTTTATTCATATTCTATTTTTATTATATTGCTTACTAATATTGTCTAATTATAAAGTAGGCCCACTAACTATTTATATAATATAGTACCTTATATATATACACGTAATAAATTCCCTTTCACTTACCATAAAAATAATTACCTTTCCAATCCAATAATTAATAAGTATATATAAAGTATTTCGGGTTATTACATGATTAACTTACTTTATATATTTTCAATTATGATTTCATTTTTGGTCCTACATTAGTTTGCTCACGACGCAGTTTTACGTACAAAAATATAGGGTGTAACACAATTGGTGGGTCTACAAGTGTTGCTCTAGTTGTTGTACGAGCTGTACTTCGGCCTCTACCCCGGCCTCGATCTCTCGTGGACCTAGCTGGTGGTGCTGGTTGCCGTCCGCCCGATCCAGTAGCACGTGTCCTCACCATCTGTGAGAGAATAGAATAACAAAAGTTTAGTTCCCAGAATCAACAAATTTGCACGACAAGAATACAAGAGTGTGAAGTTTTCCTAAGGGTTGGCAGCCTCTCGAAGATAAGTACAGACGTCTCCGTACCGATCCGCAAGACTCTACTAAACCTACTCATGACTCGTGTGACCTATGTAACCTAGGTTCTAATACCAACTTGTCACGACTCATAACTCGACATGTCGTGATGGCGCATATCACAGAACTAGGCAAGCCGACATTCACAATAAAACTAGGTATTTTAAATTAAAAATAAGATGAAGCAAGTTTAACAGTAATAATTTTCATAAATAGCCGATATAAACAACTGCGACTTGAATAAAAGTTTCCCAAAATTCGGGTGTCATTGAGTACATGAGCATCTATACAATAACATAGTCTGAAACACTTTCTAAGAAGGTAGAATAGTACAGGTAAACTGGAATATAGAGGAGGAGAGTCAAGGTATGCGGATGCCAAAGCAACTACCTCGATAATCTCCGAACAGGTAAAACTCCAAGATCAACAACTACTGTGCCCGAAAGTACCTCGACACACGAGGTGCAGAGTTAGCGTGAGTACAACCAACTCAATAAGTATCGTAAATAAATAAGGCAAGGTAAGAGAAGCTTAAATTATTGATGATACTAGCTATTCCGATGTGGTTCTACCTTCTTAAACCAGCACAGAACAATATATAAAACCAACTCATCAAATTTTGTGAGAAGAATATCCGTGTGTGCATGTGCATAATTTCTCAAATACCCTGCTCAGATAATATCATGGCATGTAGAGGAAGGAAACAATGAAATCAGATTAATGATAAAAAAAATAAAAAAATCACACGCTGCACGGACAACTCACGTGATGCACGGACGACTCACGTATTAACAATAAAACCTGCACTGACAACTCATGTGTGACACGAGCAACTCACGTGTCAATAATATCAATATATGGATCTGCACGGATAACTCACGTGCTAATAATATCAATATATGGATCCTCACAGACAACTCACATGCGATACGGACAACTCACGTGTCAATAATATCAATATATGGATCCGCACGGACAACTCACGTGCCAATAATATCAATATATGGATCCTCACAGACAACTCACATGCGATACGGACAACTCACGTGTCAATAATATCAATATATGGATCCGCACGGACAACTCACGTGCCAATAATATCAATATATGGATCCGCATAGACAACTCACTTGCCAATAATATCAATATATGAATCCGTACGGACAACTCACGTGCTGCACGGATAACTCTCGTGCCTATAACATAATCTGCACAGTATAGTCACATGCCTCTAGTCCAAACATATCATACAAAAGTAATTAAATAAGTATACATGTATATGATGAATGAAATAAGATTCTCATGCTCCTGGAATGGTATAAATGACATGCTAAAGTGTAGGCATGTGCAAAGTATTCTATCTTAGCTCGAATCAACAATTTCATCAGTAAAAGCATTTATCAAGTTCGTTAAGGGGTTAAACTTCTAAGTAGCCTCAGCATGGCTCAAATAGATCACATAAACTGTTACAACATGTGAGATATCATAGCTTAAAGTATAACAGTCAATTCTAGGCTTATAAGACCCCGAGAACAACCCGAGCATGAATATATGACCCTGGTGCCGGCACATGCCCACGCATATGCGCACCTAATAGCACGTGGCCATCACAACAATTCAGGCAACTAGCGCCTCAACCGAGTTTAAATACGATACTTACCTCAAGCAAATTGAATCACTCTGCTAGCAAGCCTTTGCCTCGCGAACCGGCCTCTGAACACCTCGAATCTGACCATAAACAACTCGATACAATCAACACAAGCTATCGGAATCAACTCCACATGAAAATGCTAAGTTCTTAATCAAAAGTCAACTCAAAAAGTCAACCTTGGGCCCACATCTCGGAATCCGACAAAGGTTAAAAAATCCAAATACTAATTCAACCACGAGTCCAACCATGCCAAAATTACTCAAATCCGATACCAAAACGCCACTCAAATCCCCAAAATTTGCCCTAAAAGGTTTCACCATTTTCCCAAATGTTTCCAACTCCAATCACTAATTAAATGACAAAAATAACAATGGATTCATGAAATACAACTAAAATCGAGTTAGAATCACTTACTCCAATCAACTCCTTGAAAAGCCTTTCAAGAATCACCCAAATCCGAGGTCTCTAGCTCAAAATATGAAAAATAGGTTCAAACACTTGTTTTGGAAATTTAACACTGCTGCCAAGTGATTACTCTTCGCGATCGCGGAAAGTCCCTAGCGATCACGATCGCGAAAAACAAAATAAAGCTGCCCCCAAAAATGGCCTTCACGAACGCGGTTGACTCCACGCGAACGCGGTTCATTGATACACAGACCTACGCGATTGCAAACATGCTCACGCGATCACGTAGAACAACTTCACGTGATCCCATATGCCTCACATCCTCGTATGCGAACGCGATCCACTATACAAGTTTGCGAAGCACAAGCTTCACTACCTTCGCGATCGCAACCCTCTCTATGCGAACGCAAAGGGGATAAACCCCACAACCCACAAAGACCCTTCGTGATCGCGGACCTAACCTTGCGATCGCATAGAAGGAAACTATATCAGAGAACTTCAGCAGACCTCAACAATCATCCAAGTCAAATTCCACTCCGATAACCATCCCAAATCCACCTTAGGCTCAGGGACCTCAACCGAATATACAAACAAGTCCTAAAATATGATACGAACTTAGTCGAGGCCTCAAATCACATCAAACAATATAAAAAAATACGAATCGCATCCCAATTCAGGCCTAATGAAAATTAGTGAATTCCAACTTCTACAATCGATACCGAAACCTATCAAATCAAATCCGATTAACCTCAATTTTTTCACACAAGTCATAAATGACATATGGACCTACTACAACTTTCGGAACCGAAATCCAAGCCCGAAAATCACAAACTCAGCTCTCGGTCAAACTTCTCAACTCTCCAAACTTTAAATTTTCTGACTTTCGCCAATTCAAGTCAAAATCAACTACGAACCTCCAAATCACTATCCATACATACTGCTAAATCCAAAATCACCCTACGGAGCTATTAGAACCGTCAAAACTCCATTCTGGTGCCATTTACATATAAGTCAACATACAGTCCACACTAACAACTTAGACTTCTAACCTTGGGACTAAGTGTCCCAATTCATTCTGAAATATCCCCGAGATCAAACCAACTACCCCGCCAAGCCACTTAACAACAATTAAGCATATAATAAGCAATAAATGGGGGAATATGGCTGCAACACTCAAAATGACTGACCGGGTTATTACACGAATTTTGCTGAAACTTGGGTGGATGAGATATCTCCAATGGCACTGAAGAACTTCAACACTAATGTGGAGAATTCAATGAAGTGTAAGATTTATTGGAATGGAGAACATGGATATGAAATTATGGAAGGTATAATTAAGTTTATTGTTCACCTGGAAAGAGAATATTGTAGTTGCAGGTCATGGCAACTGAAAAGTATTCCTTGTGCACATACCATAACAACAATGCAGTTTAGGAGGATTGATGCATCCAAGTCAATTGCATCATGGTACAAAAAATGAGACATAGTTGCGAGCTTATTCCAATTTCATACAAGCTGTCCCCAATATGATAATGTGGCAAGCTACATCAAATCCAAATATTGAGCCACTTGCAGTTAGAAAAGGCATGTCAGGCCAAAGAAGAATAGAAGAAAGGAGAAAGGAGAAATTAAAAGAGTTGGAAAGTTATAAAAAATGGGAATATCTATGACATGCTCGATTTGCAAGTCCAGTAAACATAATAAAAGAAGTTGTCCTTCAAAGCCTGATGCAACATCTTCCACAAGAGCAATAACAACTACAGGAACACAATACCCACAACAGAGGTAAATTTTATATACCCCCGCTTACCTTTAAATTATTGACATATTTGTAATTTAACTTGTTTTATGTCAGTATAATACTTCCTAATAGTCATCAATTGGAAGTACAAGAAAGAGAAGTATTGTTGACAGTCAACAAGAATCTACAAGTAAGGGAGGTGAAGCTAGAGCGAGCAGAAGTAAGTACAAGAGTCAAAGAGTTGTAGGACATGGTGTATTTATATCTAAGACCGGTTATAGTTGTGTTAATGTAAGTGGTTTCCCAGTTTACTATCACTTTATTACTTCTATTATCTTTTTGAGTTATATTTAAATTTTTTCTCATAATTTCAGCAAGATTTGCATAGCAGCAGATTAGTTACCACACCCACAGTGATGAATTCCGTTGAAGTTACAGGTGATATTGGGTATAAGCCTAGCAAGTCTTTGAAGTGGAAAGGAAAGCCATCTATTAGTCAAAGAGAACTCCAAATGAAAAGTACTATGCATAGAGTCCAAAAAAAATCAAAGGCTATTAAGATTCAAACAACATCTCAAACTGGAAAATCTCCATCCAAAGAAACAACATAGGTTTGTTCTCTGATTAAGTTAGCTTTTTGGTGTATGCTTGGGATGTAATCAGATAATTACAACTTTCTTTTTGGTAGTATTTTGTGTAGATGTCCGATTTTTATGTAAACAACTCTGTTGTGATACTATCCAGATTTTTGTTGCTATCCAGTTTTGTTACGCAAACTAGCAATTTTCAGTTTTTTATTGTGGCAGTGTCTATATTTCAAGTGATGAATTAATGAAAACCAAGGAGTACTGCCAATTTTAATTAACCACATTAGCTTAATTTATCCTTTGTTTACTAATACCATGAATTCTAAGCAATAAAAAAAGAAAAAAAAATAAATTTCTAATTGTTACTAGAAGAATTCTTGAAGAAAGGTCGATCGAGACAGTCTAAGTAACAACTACAAACTAAGGAAAGAAAGCATTTGGCAGTAGTGTTGTGATTATCATGAAAATTAGGAATGATAATCTCATCCCATCCTATGCTCTAAATATTACAATTCATTCTACTATTTATCAAATACATAGATACCAATCAAAATTAGATTAAATTGGACACACACCAAAATACAATATCACATTTCATACTACACTAATACATAATCTGATCTTCAATGTTCTTCTCACTTCAGCTCTTGCTCTTGCTTATTTCTCTTCTTCAACAAACCCAAAATAACAACATTAGCTTGTTTTAAAAATTTCGGTTCATACCACTCAAAACAATTACAAGCCTTACGACCTTTAACCTATACAAAAAACACAACTATCAATTTTTTTATGAAAAAATTCTAGAACAAACCCAACATAAATTATAATCAATTTAAACCTTCTAAACATTACTTTATCATACCTTATAGTTCTTACAACCAAAAAATCTTTTTCCCGAATTGTCATTTGACCATAAAATTTTCAAATGAGATGGATACCCACATTTACAAAGTGGGTCATCTTTCATGTTTTGGAGAAAACCGGAAAGGAAACCAAGAATATCACTAATAACTTTAACAATTAAAGAAGAAAATCTAGAATTATACAAAAAGAAAGAGCAATAGTTATGCTTCAATGGAGGAACTTATAAAGAGGAAGAAATGAAAGAATAGCCGTTAGGAATATGGAAAAATAAAAGGAAAATGTTGATTAGGTTTTTTTTTTTACCGTTATAGCTGATTAGATGGCCTTTTTTATCCACCCTCACGCGCCAAAGACCATTTGGGATCACTTCTTGTGCCATGTGACACTCTAGGTTTTTTTAAATTACCCCCTCCTAGTGTAGGGGGGAGGGGGTAATTCGAACCCGAGATAGTTTAGGGAGAAAACTAATAATTCGCGATAAGTTTAGGGGGTATTAAGGCATTTTGCCTAAACTTAATTTGGGTGGAGCCTTATGGTAGAACATGTATACATATTTGATTATGAAGCCTTTGGTTTTCCCCATAAGCAAACTAATATTATTTTGAACTTTAATTATTACAATATTTGGTCTGCAACATATCAAAATTACACTGTTAATATAACATTTGATTATCATTTCATACATATAGATCCATTAGATGCTAGCAGAATATAGTCAAAGGGCATTCGATTAGGAATTAACTGGACTAGAGTAAAAAGTCCAATAGAAATTAAGGAGTGATCCCCATATTGTCAATAAAGAGCATTATTTTGCAATTAGAATTCATCAATACAACAATGGGAACACATACTAATCACCATAACTACATGGATTCCATTTGATGATATTGTGTTTATTTTCTTCTTTCTTATAAATGTCAATCAGCAATCTATCATCACAAGATAAATTAGAGTATAAATGCTAATTACCTTGAGAGAGAGAGAGAGAGAGAGAGAGAGAGAGAGAGAGAGAGAGAGAGAGTACTAACGATGATAGCATAATTGTAGGAGGACTGCCAAAATTCGCCGTAGAGAAGACAATTTAAACTGTTTAAAAAGCTAAACTGTTTAAAAAGCTATATTTCTCGCACGAAGGGGACTCTTCTTAGCAAACATGCAAAGGTATAAAGAGAAACTGTAAACATGAGATTTTAATAGAAATTGAGATAAAGAAAGAGACAAAACAATATCATATACTTAGATGAGATGACTTTTGGTATATAATATATACACAATGTTGAGATTACTTAATTATGTAACATGGCTAGATAATTGTAAAGTGGTTAGTCGGTTATAAAGTGGCTATTTTTTCTATTCAGCTAATGAGTTAGTTAGTTAGGAATTTGTATATATACACTATACAGGCATCAATAATAGATAAATGTTCATTTTTCCCAATTCAGTCTCATATGCTCTATCTCTCTTCGACCTCTATTGTCGCTCAAGCTGAGCCCGAGTGAGGTCAGACTATATGAAATCAACATCGCATCAGAGCTCGGTTGCTCCTATTCATCATCTCCTAATCAGCTATTTCCTTGGTTTTGTCTATCGTTTTTTTACCTTGGCCCTAGTTCGATTGATTTTTCTATTTGATCTCGTTTTGCCCTAATTCGATTGTATATAGTGGGGGTTTTCTTCCAATTCCTGCTTGTGCATTGTTATTCTTGTAACAAGTTGATATCATTCATGGTTGTGGATGATTTGAGCGAGGTAGCTAGTACAAAGGTGAATATTAGGGTTCCCGGAAATTCCGAAATCGATCCAAGCTATCCCCTCTATTTTCACCTGTCGGATAATCCTAGTGCTATGCTTGTCTCTGTTCCCTTTAATGGAGTTGGTTATCGATCATGGAGATGCGGTGTATTGCGAGGTTTATCAGTTAAGAATGAATTAGGGTTTATAAATAATGAATGCAAGCGACCAGACGCTCATTCACACACATTCCGTCAGTGGGAGCGATGCGATGATATGGTGACCTCATAGATCCTTAATTCCCTTTCAAAGGACATCACATGCAATTTTGAATAACAACTGATGTTATGGAACTATGGACTGAGTTGGAAGATCAATATGAACAAACAAATAGGGCCAGATTTTATCAAATCTAAAAGAAAATAAACGATATATCGTAGGGAACTCTTGATATCACCAGTTACTATACTAAGCTCAAGAAGCTCTCGAAGGGTTGAGCACTTTGAGCAAAAAATCTCAGTGCAACTGTCACTGTACCTGTGGTGCGAAGGAAAGCATCTATAAAGCTGAGCAGGATAGGTGGTTGATACAATTTCTCATGGGGTTAAACGAATTCTACACTGTGGTTCGAGGGAGATGATGAATCCATTGCCAACCTTCGGTCAAGCTTTCTCTTTGCTAGTCCAAGATGAAAAACAAATGGAAATTAAACCACATAACCAACTATTTGTTGAATCCACCTCACTAAATGTCACTAGCTCTAGGTCTAACACCTATAGAACCAACTATTCGCCCAACAATAACAATTACAGTGGAAATGAGAAAGGATGGCCTATGTGTTACTACTGCAAGAAACCAGGGCACACTAAAGACATGTGCTATAAATTGCATGTGTACCTTGAGAGTTCTAGATATCCTCGCAACCAAAACCAAAATCCTAATCAATGAAGCAACCAGAATCAAGGCTTCAATCGGCATAAGAGTTTCCACAGGGGGAAGAGAGTTGTGTCCAATGTACATGGTCCTCACTCTGTCATGTTATCCAATAAAGGAGAAGAGTCGAGTGACCCGAATGAGGATCAAAATGTCAGCCTCTCCAAAGAGCAATATGAACAGATCATGAGTCTACAACAAGATTTCCAAGCTGGGAATGAAGGAGAGAGTGCAAGTTCTATCAACCCCATCAATGGAGTTGTGAACTTTGCATGTATATGAATGTATCTTCCATTCATATGACTTTTGATAAATCCTTGCTGACCAACATTGTGACATTACCTTATCCCCTCCTAGTTGTCCTTCTAAATGGATACAAAGTAAAAGTAACAGATATTGGTAGTGTAACACTTGTACCTGAGGTTACTTTGCACAAAGTGATGTTTGTAATTTCTTTCAAGTATAACCTAGTTTCCATTTACTGTCTGGCCAGTTCCAATCCTAAAAGCATAGTTTTCCTTTACTGATAACCTTTGTATTCTACTGGCCCCTTCAATGAAGAGGCTTCTGGAGATTAGTAAGGCCTATGATGACTTGTACCTTTTTGTCCAAAGTGTTTGAGGAGCAAACACTTAGGTTCTGTAGTTAATGATTCAACTTCATGTCTTGTTAATAACACTTACTGCACACACAACTCACTCTGTGATGATCATTCAACTATATATACTTTACTGTCTACAAATAAGTATGTGTTTCCTCCATCTGTAAATACTTAAAATTAAAGTAATAAAAATCAGAGTCTTAGTCTGAATTCTTATTTGTCTCCTGGAAATGTTGTGAATATTTTATGGAATAATAGACTTAGACATGTGCCCTTTGTCAAAATGAGAGGGATTTCCTCTATACTTATTCCTTTCCGATCTAAACAACATTTACTTTGTTCCATCTGCCCAATGGCAAGACAATTGAGACTACCTTTTCCCCCCAAAAACCAATTCCTCTACTAAATCTTTCAAATATTACACATAGACATATGGGTACCTTATCATGTGGCAACACATGACAACTACAAGTATTTTCTCATAGTGGTAGATGATTACAGTAGGTACACTAGGACTAATCTCTTGACCCGCAAATGTAATGTCCTACAAGTTATCAAAACATTTGTCTCCATGATTGAAACCCAATTCAACACTAAAGTCAAAACCATCAGATCAAACAATGAATTAGAATTCACCAGTACAGAGGCAAGTATATTCTTCCAATACAAAGGCATCATTTACCAAAAGACTTGCCCTTACACATTACAACAAAACAGTGTGGTAAAAAGAAAGCACAGATACCTATTAGAGACTACTAGAGCACTTTTATTTCAATCTAAACTACCTGTAAAATATTAGGGTGAGTGCATTTTGTGTGCCACTTACATCATAAATAGATTATCTTCCTCCCACTATTAACCTAAGTCTCCATTTGAATTGCTCTACAAAAAAAAAACCCAACATATTCCCACATGATAAGTTTTGGATGCATTTGCTATGCCACTATACCAAAAGTCCATAGAGACAAATTTGAGCCCAGAACATCTCCACATATATTCATTGGTTATCCCTATGATGTCAAGGGGTACAAGGTCTTATGTCTTTCCACTAAAAGGATACATATCTCCACGGATGTTATCTTCATTGAAAGTGTGTTCCGTTTTGCTATTTCACCTGAAAATGTTTCCTTTCTCTCTGTCCTTAATTTTGTCCCTTTTTATTTATCACACACTTGAAGGTACCGAACAACGCTATGATAGTGAGAATGGAGCAAATATTACCCAGAATCAGCCCCTTGCACACTATTCACAATGCTCACTCACCCAATGTGAGATCCTCCAGTCTCACACAATCTCCTATTAGTGCATCATCATCACAATCTAGCACGCCACATTCCTCAAGTAAAACTATATCACTAATTGTCCATCAACCAGTTCACACACCCACTGAACCAAAAAAATCACAAAGACCTTACAAACCACCTCTATATGTCCAAGATTATTTACATTCACTTCCAAGGATAAAATCACCACCACCTATTGCTCACAACAATTCTAAAAACTATCATGTCTCCCCCGATGTTCTAAGTCATGTGAGCCAAAGTCTTGGGAGAGACATTTGCAATGATGATGGATTCTCATCATATAAGGAGGCAACTATGAACCCTGCTTGGCAAGCAACAATGAATCAAGAATTTGAAACCTTACATGCCAACCAAACCTGGGACTTGGTATCCTTACCTATTGAAAAGAAACCTATAAGGTGTAAGTGGGTGTACAAAATAAAATATAAATCAGATGGTAGTATAAAAAGGCTCAAAGCTAGATTAGTTTTCAAAGGGTGCACACAACAGCCAGGCATTGATTATACAGAGACATTCTCCCATGTAATCAAGATGAAAAATGTGAGATCTTTGATAGTTGTTGTTGTAAAGAAGGGGTGGCACATATCCCAGTTGGATTTAAATAATGCATTCCTACATGGGATAAGTCCCACAGGATCTAGCAGTGGAGAATTCAGGCTTGGTTTGTAAACTTAACAAATCTCTTTATGGGCTGAAGCATGCCAGTAGGCAGCGGTATGCCAAACTGAATAAGGCCCTATGCTCAAGGGGCTATGCATACTCCATATATGACTATTCTCTATTTTACAAGAAAATTGAAACCTCATTTGGGTATGTAGCAGTATATGTGGATGATATAGTGGTCACAAGGACTGACACCATGGAAATTGAAGAGTTGAAGGCATTTCTAAATAGTAGTTTCAAGATAAAAGACTTGGGAAGGCTACACTACTTCCTAGGGTTAGAAGTTCTCAATAAAGATGATGGTGTCATAATATCTCAAAGGAAGTTTGCACTTGACTTGTTAAAGGATTATCAATGCATGGATTATAGCAGTCTTACATATCCACTAGATCCAACAGTGAAGCTCAAAGCTAAAGAAGGAGAAGCATTGAAAGAACCCATTTACTATAGAAACCTGGTTGGAAAGCTCAACTTCCTCACTAACACTAGGTTAGATATAGCCTACAATATGCAACACCTAAGCCAATTCATGGATGATCTCGGAGAAGCCCATTTGAGAGCAGTTTTCCATCTGCTCAGGTATTTAAAAGGTGATCCTACTTTGGGATTATTCATATCCCATGACACAGACTGCACAATTAAAGCCAACTGTGACTCTGATTGGGCAGCATGCCCAGATTTCAGAAAATCTGTCAATGGCTATCTAGTGTTGTTGGGCACCAGTCCTATTAGCTGGAAGTCTAAGAAGTAAGATACCATTCCACTATCGTCTGCAGAAGCAGAATACAGAGATTTGAGAAAGGTAGTAGGAGAGCTAGTATGGCTAAGTAGGTTGTTTGAAGAAATCACAGTCCCTTTCCCCAAGCATATTACGGTCTGTATTCCATGAAAGAACCAAATATATAGAGGTTGACTACCGCTTTGTGAAGAACAAACTACATGAAGGGATGATTTCACTACATAATGTGGCAACCACATATCAACTTGAAGATGTTCTAAAAAATGCCTTGGCAGGAGACAAACACTTAGTAGTCCTGTACTAGTTGGCAGTATTTTCCACACCACCAACTTGAGGGGTGTGTGTGTGTGTGTGTGTGTTGAGATTACTTAATTATGTAACATGGCTAGATAATTGTAAAGTGGATAGTCGATTATAAAGTGTCCATTTTGTATATTCAGTTAATGAAGTTAGTTAGTTAGTTAGGAATTTGTATATATACACTCTACGGGCATCAATAATAGATCACTGTTCATTTTTCCTAATTCACTCTCATATGCTTTATCTCTCTTTGACCTCTATTATCGCTCAAGATGAGCTCGAGTGAGGTCAGATAACATGAAATCAACACACACATAATGCACAAAATATAGAGAAAATAACAAAGAAGGATGAGAAAGGGGTTGGATCCTCATTCATTATGAATGGGAGCACGATAGATATCATATAGGGTGAAAAATACACTAGATATATTAGAATGAGATAATGTCACAAATTTTGAACTCATGATACATAGTTGTTAACATATAGAGCGGTTAGAGATATGAGTAATTAAGATTTTTAAGAGAGCTCAATACCAATAGACACAATGGGTCTGTTTCGTGTGAATGAAAATATTTTTCTTAAAAATATTAAGTGATTTTCTTACTTCAATTTTAGTACTTGGTTACTAAGCAGAAAATATTATCTCAAAAGCATTTATATAATCTATGCAAACCTTAGGGGGATGCATTGGGTTGAGGGACGGGGTTTAGGGTTCAAGGGTCGAGGGTCGATACTCATGTTCGGGGTCGAGGAGATTAGATTGTGGGCCAGTTTTAGGGTTCAAGGTGGATAGTGGGGGGTCAAGGACTCGAGGGTTGGGGTAAGGTTTAGAGTTCATGATGGATGGTGGGGGATCGAGTAGTGGGGGGCCCAAGATTCATGGTAGGAGGGCCGGATCGGGGGTCGGGATCGGATAGAAGTTTTGTGGGGTTAGGAGGTCGGGGCCGGGATTCGGCTAATCTGAACGGGCTCTATGTTTGCCCCTTTCTTAGATTTGTAAAGTTCAAATGCGATGATAAATTTCTTTAAAAAATAATTGGATAATAACGACCAGACTAACGTATAATATGGAGATCTTTCTAATGAATAATTAAATATTCAGAGTGCTTTAAAAGATCAAAGATCAAGTGTAGAAGTTAGTCAACTGAAGACTATATTTTGCGAAATTAACTATAGACTGATTGGCCACATTTGTAACTGATATTAGCTATTGTGGTCATATTTATAGTTAGTGTTAACTACTGTAAATAGCAATTTTTAGGATCATTTCCTTAGTCTTTGAATGATGAGTTGATCAATGCCCTTGTGAGCTTAAAGATTTACCAGTTCTCTAATATATGGCCTTTTATGGATTGCTTTAGGGAATGAGTTCATCCCTTTAATTATTTTATAATTGAGCGTGATTTGATTTATATTAGTTTAATTGCTTGCTTGAGGTTTATTAGTTGTATTCTTTTACTTATTTTGATTTTTTTTCTTGATTATTAATTATTGTTGTGATTTCAGGGGTTTAACTAGTTCATAGTTATGTTACTGTCATTTTCCAACTCTAATTTCTAATCCTTATATTATTTATTATTTTTAAATTTTAATTTCATGGTATCCTTGTAAGACCTAGTAATTCATACTCAATTTTCTTGAGCTTTCTAGTGTTGGTTGTCATCATTCAATCCCATTGATCAAGATTTTTTTTTTGAATTTGACCTAAATCTAAAATTTGATAGTGGATCCTACATGGCCTTCTCCTTGTTGATTATGATTTTTCTGTAGATTGAACTTGTCTGATGCCTTAGGAGCGTGGTATCAGATATGAGCAACTTATTTTGATATTGGATCCATGTAAGGGAGACTTTAACCTTTGAGTGATTATTTTTAAAAAAGATGTCTTCGAAAATTAGGTTATTTTTATATGGTGGGTTCATCTGATATTGTTTGTCATTGTGTGAGCATGCATAAAATGTGCATTTATGCATTTCTAAAAATTTTGTCAACAGGTATTATAATAGGTGAAACAGTGATCTTGCTGAGTCATTTATGACTCACACCTTACTATTTTTCCTGAAGATACTTTAACTGACGTTCTAGTTGACACTTGACCATACATTGCCTCTCACAGTTTAGTTGATGTGGGCCATTCTCTATATACCCGGAGGTAGGGGTGGGAATAATATTGACCGAATCGAAAAAATCGATTGATCTGATAATTTTGATTTATTCGGTTTGATTTGTTCGATTTTTTGATCGGTTTGCAGTTTATATTTGTTAAAAGTTTGGTGTTTGGTTCGGTGTTCGGTTTTATTATTTTAGTTTTTTTGTTAACCGGAAAATCGATTTTTTTTTAAGTATGGCTCCTATAGCCTCTGGACTTATTAACTCTTAAGTGTAATATGTTAAATATGGTCATTTATTAATTGTTAATGAATGTTGAAGCACAAACTCCAAAATGCCACACTTTTAAGAAACTCATCCAACACCATAGTCACGTTACCCAAAAATTAATAACCAACATGATCATTATTCAATAAATTATTATATTCGTTGGTTTCCCAATGATAACACAAATCTCTTATGTTACTTTCAGTTAATGTGCTAATTATAACTGATATTACTAAGAATATATTGAGTTGCAAATTCAACAATAAAAAATTACTCATTACTACGGACTCTTAGCAAATACAATAAGCATCTATTCTTAGTGCATATTTTATTATTTTCTAGTTAAATTTCATGTTATAGCATATTACAGTAGGACAATTTGCTAAGCACATGAGCCTCAAAAACTTGGCATGAATTTAATTCTGAGGCTCACTTATTGCTTAAAAAGAAGTCCAATTTGACAAGCCTACAACAACAATAATAACATACCCAGTAATATCCCACATCATGGGGATTGAGGAGGGTAGTGTGTACGCAGACCTTACCCCTACCTTGTGAGGATAGAGAGGTTGTTTCCAATAGACTCTCGGCTTAGGAAAGTATAAGCACCACATTAATAAAAATATAGACAAGAAGGGACAGTACTAAGAAGTCATATGAAAACAGAATAAAAACAACCAGATAGTAAAGTGATCAACAATGAAATAAACAACGGTTAGTCATAAAATCCTAATACCAACAGAAAGCGAAACTGCGTGCCAATACTATTGTCCAATTTGACAAGCCTAAAATCAAAAAATCAAATCGAAAATAACCGCATCAGACCGCAAAAAAAATCTAACCGCACAAAAAATACTTTGGTTCGAATTTGGTTATTAAAATCTCAAATCAAAAACCGAAAAAACTGAACCGACCGATACCTACCCTGCCTGGAGGCTATATGCTATCCTTTATTTTTCAGTTATACTTGTAGTATAGCTTAGACCCGACTATCTTATGTTTTTAGATATTCACTTAGATGCTTCGTAGCTAGACTTATGAGATTTTGTTGCTTTGAAGTTTTGTTGTTTTGCATTTTACTTTGTTGTTAAGGAATTTGTGGGTATTACTTGTGGTTGGATATGATTGGCTGATGGATTATTGAAATATTCCTAGTATAGGGTAAGATATGCTAGTTTATTTTTTAATTTTTTTGCATCATTGTATTTAATTAGTATCTCAACAAGTTTAAATTATGCTCAGTCAAGATGAATTTTGATTCACTTTAAGAATGGAAGGTCGTTAAGTGCTAGTCGGCCCTCGAGATGTGGACGGTGACACCTTATCTCATTTCAAATAGTATTTGGTAATTAATTTGAGCATAAATAAGTAACACCCACTCAATTCTATAATAAATATGTAACGACCCGACCGATCATTTTGAGCAGTTGCACTCCGTACAACTATTTGAAATCTTGAGTAGCTTCGTATGATATATTATGACTTGTGTGAATCATCGGTTTTGGCTTTCAGGTTAATCGGAATTGATTTGGGAGAAAGATTCTCAACTAGGAAAGCTTTAAGTTGGAAGAGTTAATCAAATTTGACTTTTGAGTATTTGACCTCGGATCGGAGTTTTGATGGTTCTGTTAGGTCCAGATAGTGATTTTGGACTTGGGCATATGCCCGAATTTGCATTTGAATATTTTTAGAAGGTTTCGTGTCACGGCCCCAAATTCCCTCCGTAGGAAGTCATGACGACACCTAGTCTCTAAAACTAGGTGAGCCTATCAACATACAGAATAATATGAAATAACAAGTTAAAATCTCAAAACTTCGACAACTGCATAAATAAAATTTGTAACTCAAAATGTACAACTCCCAAAACCTGGTGAAGTATAAGTCACAAACTTTAGTAACAATACTGAACAATCATATACATCATTGTCTAAGATAGTGTAATAAAATAAGGAAAAACAGGATAACAGGGGACTCCGAGGTCTGCGGACGCGGGCATGTATACTTTAAAATCTCCAAAGCAACCTCAGCTCACTAATGCTGGGACTGATAGGAAGTACCTGGATCTATACAAAAAGATGTGCAGAAATATGGTATGAGTACACCACAACGGTACTTAGTAAGTGCCAATCCTAACCTCGGTAGAGTAGTGACGAGGTCAGGTCAAGGCCTTACTGGAGATAATATGAAACAAGACGAAAGATATAACGATAAAATGATAATGATAATGAAAATGAAATAATAAGAAATTTATGAAAAGTTAACAGCACGGAATCAAGACAGTTAATACAATTTGCAAATAAGAGGTAAAACAAGTAGACATGTGAAATTAGACT